ATGACTTCTAGAGTTCGTTTGGGCATATTCATAAACTAATCGCCTTGTTGCGTTTGGCTTCAGACCGTAAAATATAGAGGAACACTTCAGTGTAACATAACTTTTTCGAGACCTTTTTCTTGGACTTGTCTGACATAGTTCAACCCGGTTACCAACACTGGATTTCTTTACTCCATTTTTTCCTATCTGGATAGGACATGTTATTGTCAATCACATCTACTAGCTTGTTTCATGGAATTAAGTCAGAACTCCCTGTCAGTCTTTTTCTATGTTCTTATTGTTATGTTTTTGCTGAACTGAAATGGAATATAATAATATGTTTCAACCATCATGTTGCCACAAGTTTCTGTTGCAGTTTTTCTTTTTGAAGGGAAGCTATGGACAACAAGGGGAGATCCTGTGCAGCCTCTCCTCTTGTGCACTTTATCGGATTAGCCTAAAAATATCAAAACCTCCCATTGGTATTTTCGTTCTGTGAGAACATAACCTTATCGGTTAACCTTGCTTTCTACTCTGACACAAAAAGTTAAACGAATAACATTAAAATAAACAATAAAATACTTACCTCGCGTCTTTGAAATATTAGATCAACAATGCCAAAAATACAAAATTCCCATGAAAAGCTTTTTCAAAAAAACAAAATATTTCCCAAAAACAATCTGATCTGTGCCGGTTGACCATTCTGGAGATACTGTTGGCGCCTTGGCGTGATAGATCAGAAAGCCGCAAGAGGCGGGAAATATTAGCGTGTCCATTGTCTCCCAGTGTCCCGATCCTATCCACCCTCCCATTATAGTTTTGTCAAAGTAATAGTTCAAATTCAGATCCGTTTTTAGTCCGTCTTATTCAGCTTCCACCATTTCACTTGAAGAGTTAGATACCTCCTCAGATTCGGACAACATTTCTGAATCTGATTCGGAATCGGATTCTCCAAGAGAAATAATGAAAGGAGGAATATTTTTGAAACGTGAGTCTCCCATGTATTTTGTCCAGTCTTCTGAAATAAGTCTGTCACAATGTCTACAAAAATTCGTCCACATGTCTGAGGTACATTTTGAAAGAGACTCACGCCATACCCTCGCAACCCGATCTGTGGATGGTGGCTGCGAAGTTATAGTTTTATTATAGAAGTTCTCACAAAACCCCCATGCCATTTCAATAGTATTATATTGGCAATGATAAGGAGGTAATCTAAGAACTTCGTGTCCGTGGCTTTTCAAAATGTCGTCAATTTTGTATTGTTTTGGTCTATTCCGAAATGGTTGAGTTTGGTCCGAGGTTTGGTCCCATAGTTGTTTTTTGGTCATTTTTGTGTCGAAGTTTACGTTATGTTTAACCCACCATTCCTGCATTTTGTCTTTCTTTGAAGAGAATGAAGGTGGTTCATCCTTCCGCTCTGAATGATATGGAGCGTTGTCCATGATTATTACACATTTCTCTCCAAATATATTCAATGCAGGAATTATAAGTTGATCAACGACCCATTTTTGGAAGATGTCCGCGTTCATGGTATTGTGGTAGTCTCTGTCATTGTTTCTTGAATCTAGAAAAAAATCGCACCCATCTAAAAACCCAGAACTACTCGCCGCATGCAAAATAGTAAAACGTTTCCCCTATGACTTAATTTTGGATGGGTTGCTTTTCATATCAGATTCGTGTATCCATCGACGAACTTGAGATCCGTTTTGGTAGATCCAAGTTTCATCTAAATACACGAATCTGATGTTTTCGTTTGAATGTTTATATTGGAGGTATTTCCGCAGAAATGTAATTTTGGCAGCAAGAACATGTTTCTGCTCACATAAAATTTTGCGTCCATTTACTGCTTTAAATTTTTATCCCATAGATTTTAAAATTTTATATAAACTTGTTTGCCCTCCCTTAAATTCCAAATTTTCTTTTGCCTATGTGAGTAATGTTTGTAATGTAAAATATTCATTTTTAGAATTGTATTTCCAAATTTGTCGTTGTTAATCTTCTTTAAACATTCGGTCCATAATAGTCTCTGTCTTTTTCGGTCGGCCTAAAGGTTTTTTGATTGTATATTGTCCAGTCAAAATTCTTTGAATAGTCCTGGTTCCCACCTAAAATTTAAGGAAAATGTTGGTTGGGTAAGAAATGGCTTCACATCTACATTTAAGTTATACCTACCTCAAATATATCTGCAAGTTGTGCTTCAATTTCAATTGTTCCCTAGAGAGCCTCTGGTTTATTTTTTTTTAAATAACCATGCCATTTTAATATTTCCCTTTTTTTTCTTCTGAGATTATTTTCGGCATCTTCAAAACGAAAGAAATTTGACAATGCCTAATAGTCCAGGAGGTGGCGCCAAAAACATGCAAGAGTTTTCGCAAGGCGGATATTTTCAAAATAGGTCGTACTTTAGTGCTAGAATGCTAGTGTACAGTCAGCACTCACAGTTCCGGGACAGCTGGCTCTGGGACGCGGGCAAAGTTGTAATTTTAAGAAGCATCTAAACTGTTTTCTCAAAGCTCAAAATTTATAGAAATTTTGCACATTATCTGTTTGAAGGTCACAGATAACGTATGTAAATCGTCAGACGTCTAGTTCGTTGCAAAAAGGGGGTCAGACGTCCTCAAAGTTTTTATTTTATGGCATTTTCTTCGGTGTCCTGTCAAAATATATTTTTGCAGGTATTTGACAAATATATTTGAAGAAAATGCCATAAAATAAAAACTTTGAGGACGTCTGACCCCCTTTTTGCAACGAACTAGACGTCTGACGATTTACATACGTTATCTGTGACCTTCAAACAGATAATGTGCAAAATTTCTATAAATTTTGAGCTTTGAGAAAACAGTTTAGATGCTTCTTAAAATTACAACTTTGCCCGCGTCCCAGAGCCAGCTGTCCCGGAACTGTGAGTGCTGACTGTACACTAGCATTCTAGCACTAAAGTACGACCTATTTTGAAAATATCCGCCTTGCGAAAACTCTTGCATGTTTTTGACGCCAGCTCCCCAACTATAATTTTAAAAAAATTCATTAGATTTTGCAGGTACGCAAAATAGTTAAGTACCGTTTATAATATAGCATTATTGAAAAATGTGTCAAATTTGATTTGCCAGATAGGCCAGAAAATTTTAATACCGCGGCTCTTACGAAATAATGTAAACCACACTTAAAACTGTCTGGAATTTGACATATACTGTCATTATTATACGAGGGTCAACCTGCCAAATTTCCATGGATAATGCTACGCTAATAATAAGTGAAAAGCATATACTTTTCCTGAACTGTGTCAACCTGCCCTGCCCTGCGTCGCCTGTGTCACCTGCGTCTCAATGTGCGGCTTTCTTAACTCTCAAAACCGTCCCTGGCAAATAATAGGATGATGTGAAGTTCAATGTGTGAAAGTGACATTTATTGACGATTGTAGTTTTAATTTTTTTGACTGCAATAATTTTTCTAGTGAACCATTTCCTTGATTTTTTCCCTTTTTGTCACTCTTTTTAAATTTATCAGTGTAAGTTTAACAGCGAAACATAAAATATACGTGATTATGGATAGTTATAGTGCAGCATTATTACAGACTACTTGTGATTTTATTGCAAATTGTTTGATTTGGAACGTCCAGAAGAATTTGCCTCAAGCGTTGTCTCGCGTCGTTGGATTCTATTTTCCAATAGGTTTGCAGATAATTATTTGTATTATTATGATTTTTATTTTCTTTGATACATACGTTTATTTGACACAACTATTAAATGGATTAAGATAAGTGTTAATCCTTTGTTAGAAGCGCCAGCACAAATTGCTTTGTATCGTTTGTGTCTAACTTCCGAGCTAACTTCATTAAAGGCAACAATGATGAAAAATAGTTTCAATTAACAATTAAAAGGTAAACATTTTTCTTATCTCACACCGGTTTTTCATCAAAAAATATTCAAATAAAACTAAATAGCATAAATCATCAAAACAATTACACATGACAAAGGTAATTTTTTCTTGAAGTTAGCAACAAACTTCTCTAATCCCAGATTAAGGTGTTTATTTAACATTTGAGATAATCCATTTCAAGTCCAATCCTACAAATTTGGAGGATTGAATTAAGTAGTCCGATCCGGATTATTTCTCTAATCCTGAGAATTATTAATCCTCATTATTAATCCAATCCACTTAGTATCCGGATAGAACGCGTGGAATAAATGTAGTCAGTATGTAAACCCTATGAGACTCATACGTTCTTTTTACAGTTGGTAGGTACCCGTCACAGATAAAGCATATGGTATCTAGCGTGCTGGAGACATTTCTGCTTTATCGTATCTTTTTGTCTATACAGTGCTTAGGAATTGTCTGTCTTGTTTTTGGTGTTAATAATTCCATTGAAATGAAACTCAAGTTAATTAGGAGCTTATCACGCACAATTTCTTGCCTCTCTTTACCGAGTTTTAAACTGTAATTTCCTCAGGTTGACCGGATTATTTGAGTTGAATTATTGAGTAATTACGCTAAGGCCATTTTTTGGGTTTGATCAAAGAAGTAGACAAATTGAGGGTTTTTCTTGCCCTATATGTAGTATTGCCATTTAAAGGCATTTCCCATAGAAATATCCTGAAATAGTTATTTTTATTTACAATAAAAGTGTCCACATGTGAAAGTTTGAGAATGGGCGAATTCACATAAGTGAAATTTTTAAGGTCAAAAGTCAAAAATTCAGATAAATTAACATTATTTTGATGTCACTTATTGGGAACCAAGAATGTAATAGGAACAGCAATAAAAAAAATTAAAATCGAAAATAGCACAGTCTATTATACTTTCATTCGTAATTAAAAATAAAAGGAGCCTGCACAAATTGATTGGACAAATAAACTTTTTTGGCTCCGCCCTATCAGTGCACAGCCAATTGTAGCCTTAAAACTTATCAGAGATAAAAAAAAAACAAGTCCAGAATTCGGTTAAGTTGACGTAATATAGGCTCTAAATGTTATAGGTATTAGTTTTGTTTTCTGTACTAATGAAATAATGTTATTTTTCAGTTGAAAAAGATGGACACTATTTCTTGAGAATCCTAGAAGAACAGACCAGTAGGTTACTGGCCATAGCAGATAGAGTGGAAAGTGAAATTGAAACTCCCAATCTAACCGAAGAAGTAATTGGAAAATTAAGATCTGCCGCTGGCAAAGCAAAACTTTTGGTTTCGCAAAAAATGCAGCAATTTAAAGGGCTATGCGTTAATAATATTAATCAGGTATGAAAATTGTTTATGAAAAGTTTGGACAAAAATGTATTATTTTATTGCAGAGTGGAGGTGAAGCTTTCCCAACTACCAACGAAGATTTACAAGGATTTTGGGACATGGTCTTGTTACAAGTGAATCAAGTTGATGAGATTTTTGAAGAGATTAGCAAATTGAAGGATAATAATTGGAAAGAGGTAATTATTCAATACAGGTGAACTCATAGTATCGCCGATAATACTTAACAAGTCTCTGAAAGTGTTCGCTTTCGAAAAGGGTTGACTTTTACAATAATTTATGACCTAAATATATGCAAGAATTCTCAGTTATTATTGATATTGATATTATGATTATTACCATGAAAAGCTTGTGATTTTCAAGCCAGAGGGTTGAGCCTAGTCGCTTGAAATCGTACAAATTTTATTTGTATCTTATCATTCAAAATTAAATCTATGTAGGTCTGAGATTCAAATTGAAAAAAATAGTAGGTACAGGGTGGTCATTTTATCTTGATAACATTTCAAACTGTCATACATTTTTTATTTTTGGAGTTTTTTAAATAAATAAAAAAACATACTGTAGGGTTGTTCTCCAAGTTTTAGATAGGGTGGACAAAAAACAAAAGACTAAAATATTTTGACAGTTATGCACACAAATAGCATTTTTTCAAATGGAACACCCAGTAAATTTTAAGTAGGTATGTTTGTTATTATGTTTCATTCTGATTGCAATATACAGGGTGTCCCAAAAAGATACCGACAAACTTTGAGGGGTAGTAGGGGACATCAAAATAAGCATTTTTGTTTATATAAACATATGTCCGCAAATGAGCCATTTGGGCTGTAGAGCAAAAAAAACTGTTTGATACTTTTATTCTTCGCAATAATTAAATCACTGTTTACTTATTAATTTTGCTTTATTATCAAATAAATTATGGTTTACAATAATTGTTCAAAATGTAGACAATTTACTTCAATGCAAAGATTACACCGTCGGGTCATTGACTGAAAAGTTTAGTCTATGAAACACCTGTTCGTAATGAGGAAGATCTGATAGCAAGGATACTGGCGAGTTGTACCCATGTAGAAGCTATTCCCGGAATATTCCAAAGAGTTCGCGAGTTGAACAATTATTGTAAACTATAATTTATTTGCTACTAAAGCAAAATTAATAAGTAAACAACGATTTAATTATTGCGAAAAATAAAACTAGATATCAAACAGTTTTTTTGCTCTACAGCCCAAATGGCTCATTTGCGGACATATGTTTATATAAACAAAAATGCTTGTTTTGATGTCCCCTACTACCCCTTAAAGTTTGTCGGTATCTTTTTGGGACACCCTGTATACAATACAATACAATTGAATACAATTTACTTCATATTTACATGCAGAAACGTTTTATTTATTCTAATGGGAAATTCTGTCTACCTACCTACCTTTGCAGGTAATCTGTGTAGGTAATCAATATTTTCAGTTAGAATAGATAAAACATTTCTGCATGTAAATATAAAGTGAATTGTATTCCAGTGTATCGTATTGTATACATTGCAATCAGAATAAAACATATTATCAAACAAACTGAAAATTTAGTGGGTGTTCCATTCAAGAAAATGCTATATGTACGCATAACTGTCAAAATATATTAGTCTTTTGTTTTTTGTCCACCCTATCTAAAACTTGGAAAGCAACCCTACAGTATGTTTTTTTATTTATTTGAATAACTTTAAAAATAAAGAAATTATGACAGTTTAAAATGTTATCAAGATAAAATGACCATATATTATGATATAAGTGTATAAGAGGGCCTTTAAAGCACGAGCGACATATTTCAAAACAGGACGCGAAGCGGAGTGTTTTGTAAGTCGCGAGGGCTTTAAAGACCCTCTTATACACGCATATCATACGCAATTTTTTATTAAAATGCATCATAATGTCAAAAAATTATTATCTTAGGGGTATTTTGCTGTTTGTTACTCTGCTTCTGCTGTTACCAGGGACACATCTATTGTTAAAGAAATTATTGTGGTATCCAGCTGGAAAAAAGCTTTGTTCAGGGAGACGATCGCTGACTACTACGGAATAAATAATCCCAACGCAATCTCCGCCACTCGAGCGACTAGTCAGAAAAATGGCAACCACATCGCGCGATGTCACAAGTTATTTATTCCTCTGAGCAAACCTCAGAGCCACTATTGGTAACACTACATAAATTGAGAGGGCAAGTCATTCATAAAAACACTACTTGGTTTCTGCGGCCAACATTCCTAAACGTCAATGTGGATTGATGAATGAACTACATGGAGTGGGGATGAGATTGCGGACCAATTAACAACAAATCCCGTTTGACATTTCTTTCTACGATTACTACGAATACAACAGCGTATTCGCGATTAAGTTCGGGCTTGCTCTGGTGATACTTGCATCCTTCTTTATTTTGTTATCTAAACAAAGATTACGATATAGGTCACGCTCTATAGGATGTTGAATATCATTGCAACAAACATAAATTTTTTGATTCCATAAAAAATTGAAAATCTAAGTTAATTTTACAAATATGCTTGAATTTGAACAAAGTTATGTAAAATTGATTTGATTTTAATTAATTTTTGAAAGTATTAAGGACGGAAATGAAAAATAAAAAAAAATATATAGAAATTATTTATTTATTTATTCAAAGTATCTACAGCAGAGCCAATTACAGATAGGTACTGACTTAATAGTAATAATACAAGAATACAGATAACATTTAACATACTCTTAAAACCTACTTACAATCTCAACAAAGTTGATCAATCACAACATACAGAGAAATACAATTTAGGATGAATGCAGTTTCCCGTCAATTATCATTTCAAATGCCTTAAGTCTAATAATGTCTATATCTACATTTGAGGCATAAAGGTTAAATAGATGACACAAATTATAGATCGGAGAACACTTATAAAGATTGGTTCTAGGGTAGGCCAAGTAAAAGACATTTTTACTCCTTGAATTGATACGATTTACAGCAAAAGAAAGCTGTTCCAAAATACCTGGGCAGTCAATATTATTGGTTAAAACCCCATACATAGTGCATAAGAATATTCTTATCCGCCTTTTCTTCAGTGACAGTCTACTGAACCCACCCAGCATATAGTCATTGCTACAGCCACGGTGGGCATAAACTCCAAACTTTCTGAAGTAGAGACATTTCAAGAATTTTCGCTGCACACTTTCTATAATTTCACTCCAATTATGGTATTGGGGTGACCATATTACGCTGCCATATTCTAAGATAGACACAACGAGACTGTCAAAGAGAGATAAGCTTATGTCAATACTAAAACATTTTGTGTTTCTTGTAATGAAACCTGATACCTTCTGAGCACTAGAAATTTTTGACAAAATATGTCCCGAGAAAGACAAAGCAGGATCAAAAATAACTCCCAGATCTTTTTGCTCAGACACTCTTTTCAGTTTTACATTACCTACAGAATAATCATAAATGACAGGATTTTTATTGCGTGTGAATGACATGCATACGGATTTATCTAGGTTCAACTTGAAACTATTCTCAGAACACAATGCGACAATATCAGAAACCTCTCTCTGGAGCACTGCACAATCCGTTATTGATGAGACTTCAAAAAACAACTTCAAATCATCAGCAAAACCAAGTGACTCAACATTCCTTACTCCCAACAATGCCCTGTTAAATGTGATCAAAAACAAAAGTGGACCCAGGTTTGACCCCTGTGGAATACCTGATGTGCTGATAAAAACTACCGATTTTCAGCCTTTAATTTCAACATACTGACATCGTTTACTTCTGTCATTACCCAAGTATGAATGAATCAAATCGATTATAATTTGAGGTACATCCATATCCCCCAGGCTTCTCAAAATTATACCATGCCGGACTTTAGCGAAAGCCTTTTCTAAATCAGTGTGTTGTATACACTGATTTTGAAAAGGCTTTGATGTTGTCAACTTGTGATTTTCTATTCAACGCTTCATGAATGAACGTGAGAAGGTAGCGAGATTCGTAAATGTAGACCTCTTTGGTAAAAAACCATGTTGATTTAAGCCTATTTTATCCTTGACCTCAGCAAAGAGCATGTTGAAGATAATAATTTCAAAAATTTTGGAAACTCCACAGACAATGGTTATTGGCCTATAGTTTTTTATGTCTTGTCTAGGACCACCCTTATGGACAGGGATTACCTTGCTGCATTTCCACCTTTCCAGAAACACTGACGTGCCAAGAATTAGATAGAACAGCCTTTGCAGGGGATAAACAAATGATTCACAGCAACCTTTAAATATATATGATGGAACTCCATCAGGCCCTATGGAGTTATTTCCCTTCAACCTTCCAACTGCTACTTTTATATCACTAGACGAGATGACTCTGTTACAAAAATATGATTTTGATCTGCCGCCAGAATAGATTGGGCACAAATCTGCGCCATCTATATTAACTGATTTAAAGTAGTCAGCAAAACAATTAGCAACTTACTGGGTAGGCAAGAGCTTGCACGGCTTTGACGCAGTATTTGTTGACAGAATCACACTCAAACAGGGATGGTGGCGTGGCTGTCCACTGGCAACAAGATTTCCTCTGCACAGGCCACTGATGTATTCTCAAAAGAAGCAATAACAACATCCAAGATAACATCATTAGCATTTCGAATTTGATTGCACTGGTTCAAACCATTGAAAGCCAAGAACGCTCTGAAACTGTTAACCACATCATTGCAAGACAGTTCACTGATATAACCAGGGACATTGAGGTTACCCGAGACAATTTATTCGGAATTACTTGTTAGCGATACTCCCTTCTATTTTTTCATAAAAGTTTTCATATATACCATTTAACTATCTGGAACAATATAGAATAATACAACTTATAAAGACTGATTATTTCCTAAATCAATTCGAACGCACAATGCCTCCTGATCATCGTCGAAAATATTCACCTCAGCACCCTTGAGAGATCTCTTCATTAGAAAAAGTACACCACCACCCTGCTTCTTTCCTGTTATTATCGAACTCCTATCCTTTCTAAATACAATCCTGTCATTGCCACAAAATTCTGAGGAATAAATTGAATCGTTCAACCAGGTTTCCGTTAAAGCTATAATATTGTAGGGTTTTGTAGTTGTCTAGGGGTGAATGAAACAACACAGTTCTAAGCACATTCATGACAGACTTAT